TCCTGTCGAATTTGTCTCGATGGAGAAATTCCTGGAGAACAGCTTTTTAATCCATGTCTATGTACAGGTAGCGCTAGTCACGTGCACATCACGTGTTTGAAGAAGTGGTTGATGACGTCAGGAAGTAGTGTTTGTGAGCTGTGCCTGTACGAGTTGGATGTCGGTTGGAAGACGACATCGATGTGGAAGGCCCTAAAGGTAAGTGGGAATGTTTCATGTTTGACATCGTCGTCTGAAAAACAGTCTGTGTTCGTCTCCATCCACCCCCTTAACAGCAACAACAACATATCAGCAACAACGACAACGACAACCTTAAATCCCCACTGTGACTACTTATAGCTATACTTACGCCCTCTATGTAGCAAACAATGCCTGATCGGTGTCTGTTGGTCCCCATGATCCCCTTTTTCTTATTGTTAATTAAGAGCTGATTTGATGATATAACCACCTGTCAGTGACCGTGCAGGGAGGTTTAATCCCCCCTGGCCAAACTAGTGCAGACGGGTTTTAAGGCGCTTGCCTTCGTAAGCTGTCTCCTCATTCATGTATTATTATTGTGTGATCTGTTCTTTTGTGGATAATTATGTTGTCTTTTAAAAAAATATTAATGAATGAAATACATTTCACCTTGAACTTGAACGTGTTGAGGTCCTTGAAAAAAAACCTCTGGAACTTTCTTGAAAAATTAAAAGAGACGTGGTTTCGAAGAGTTCCTTTCCCCTATATCCCACCCTTCCCCAAAACCAAGAAGATTGATTGACATTACACGAAACCTCAATCCTATGAACGGTATGGGTGGATAGGCTACGTCGCCGGACTGTCGATCACAAGGTCCGCGATTCGAGTCCCGCCGCGGCACTGATGTCCTTTGGCAAGACATTGATCTACATTTGCCACTCTCCACCCAGGTGTTAAATGGGTACTGGTACGAAGGAATTCCTTTAAATGCTGTGAGCGTCGAATTCGGCAGCGTAGCATAGCCGGGTAATGTTGGAGCGCATCGAGGACCTTGCAAGGTCGATACGTGCGCTATATAAGAATCCAATATTATTAATATTGTTATTATGCTATGAAAGCTCAGTTGTATAGGCCTCCACGTCGTAATTTCCATTGCAGTACTTTTAATTCGAACACTGTGTATTGTAGTTTAAACATATTTGTGGCTTACACCCAGTAAATAAGATCGATTGATGAAAAAATCTTGGAACCAGGGTGTAAGCCACAAATATATGTTTAAACTATTGAAATTTCTCCCAGGAAGCATTACATTTATAAAATGTGTATTGTGTTTTAATACTGTAAATGTCGTTCTAATTTTCATAATTTAGCAAACTATAATCACCTCTCTTTTCTATCATTTCTACCACTATCTGATGAAGGAGCTTTCAAACGTACGAATGACCAATCGTAAGATCTGTTGGGCTTTACTAGTCTCCATCGCAGCCCTCACACTACCTCTCTTTTGTATCTGTGTATTCGTGTTGGATGATGAGGATCTAAGACTACAACTCAGTAAACCAGCCAGTATGGCCGTATCATATGGTAAGATATGGAATGGTAAAAGAAAAATCTTGATAATAAGATATAAGTGATGAATACAAATTAAGGTAGTGTTGCAAGCTCTCATCCTCTTCCTAAATCATGAATAATTACATGTTGTTCCCGTTGAGCAGAGGACCCCACCCCTTCCCGAATAGATGAAAACCTTGACTCTTCAAAGATAAAATGAAAATTGTTCTTGAACCTGGATGAAGTGGCAGAGAAAGGGTCAAAGGTCAAAGAGGGGGTCGAACATGATACAGACGTCGGAATAACGTAGTGTGGAAATAAAAAACATCGTCATCAAAAAGAGCATGTTATAACACGATCACAAAGATTTTCAAGAAATCAACTTGAAGGTAATTTCAGTACCCTCTTGTGTATTGCCTATCGAAGCCATGTTCAGATTATGTAATATCTCATCGTTAAAGGGATCGTTTAACCAGGGAACAATGTTAAATCTGAGATGCACGGCCCTACGTGTTATCAGTGTCTGTGATATGGTGCTTTATTGAAGCCCTAAAAAAAATCGCATCAAAATGATCAAGAAGTGCCTCAAAAAAGTAAAAACCTTTGAGTGACCGGTTTTACTATACTCGTTTTCCCCAATAGACTGCAGTGTTATGAAAAAACCTTGGCAAACGCAAAAATTTGATTTCGATTTTCAATCATAAATATCTTGATAATTGGACAGGCGATCGTCTTGTAAAATTCATGGGGTTCCTGACTGACCTGAAGATTTATAATTATCATTGCAGCATGAGCTAAATCAAGGATTTTATTAAAGGATCTAAATTAAAGTTGCTGGATCCCTTTAATGCCAGTACAATTCAATAGGTAACGCACAGGCCTTCTTCTAAAAGTCGTTGTGATCTAGTTAAAAGCTTTAAAATAAGGTTTTCAAGCAAATTCTCGTATGGAATGGACAAAAAAATTACACTCGATTGTGATGTCATAATGATAAAGGGAGTGTACATTTCCAGTCAACCTGTCCTGTGTAGAATAGACATTTCTCTTTAAATTCCGTCGTTCCACAAAGCACAATGATTACAGGGAAGATTTACTTACAGAATTAAATTACATTTTCCTGTCATTCCAAACTCACAGTCAGGGCTTAACCTCTGGCATGCTTGTTTTCGATAAGAGTCATTTAGCTAGACAATTGTGTTAGATCGTCATTTCTGGCATACCCTATCAATTTACTTGAATGCCGTCCAATAAAAGTTCTTTACCCTATCCGAGCTTTTTCAATGTCATTGCAATCTGCAAGGCAGGAAATCTCGATTCTGTTTTATGTATGTCTATTAATCATTCATGATTGTATACATGTATATTCGCTTCCATCGTCATATGAGATTGTTTTCCTGCTGTTCTGACCTGATGATGGTTTCCTGATGGAAAGTAACAGCATACATGCATAAAACAGCTCGTAAATAGAAATAAAGAGAATAATATACACCATTTTGTTACAAGCGGAATATAAATTAGCAAAATGGATCCATGTTAAGAACGAATCGGTGACGACCCCTACTTAATGATTTAAAATGAAATGTATTGGTCGTTATCTTCCAGGGAAGGGCGTGTCGTATACAGTACTTCCTCGATATGGAAATGTTGAACCAGGGTGGTTGAACGTATCCCGGTTTCATTCCCCCGCTGTCAACTGCTGACACACATTGGAATACATCTCTGTAATTGTGATGCTATCATCCTGTTTCTCAACATTGAATGAATTACATTTTATGAATACTTTCATTTCATAACTAACTTGAAGTTCCTCTGGCTTGATTTCGTGACAGCATCTGAGTATTTCACACCAGACATTAGGGACTTTTAGATTTGCACGTCAACAGCTTTGACTGCAACGTGTGACGTCATTTTAAGGCACTGCGCATGCGTTACGTCGTCTCAGTCGGCGATCGAGAATGCGTCAACCTTGATTTTCCTAAATCTTGTACATACACATATAATTACATACATATTGATATTTTATAGCGCCTTTACATGCTCAAGGTACTAGTATGCCGCGTGCGCATAAAATATACAGTTCCTCAGGTAGACAAAGGAACATCCCTTCCCTGCTATGTAAAAATGTGTAGAACAGGTGTCACATTCAACCTGTTCTACACATTAATATTAATAGCAGTGAAGGGATGTTCTTTTGTTGAGGGTAGAATGAGGAACTGTACATTTTGTCCTCTTTCTTTGTCCGTCATGTTCATAGTGTTAATTCCTGCATGCATGTATATTGTCGAGTGCAATCTAAAAGATTTCTAATTGTAGTCAACATGGGCAGTTAAGTACGTTGACACGCATGATCAGTCGGCGTTCGTCGTGTTCTCGTCCACTCATTCTAAAAGTCCCTAATGCTGCGCTAAGGACCCCACCCCCTTAACAAGACAATAAACAAATCACATTCCGCAGCATTTTACCACATGTACTTAATAAGTTCCATGTTTTCTTTTCTCTCCTTCTCCATCATCATCATTCTCCTCCTCGTCGTCGCCTCCGACATCATCAGGTGTGATCTTAATATCGTGTGCGGCCTACCTCACCCTCCTCTTCATGGTCGCCTACCTCACGTGGAAGTGGGACTTCTGCCCGAGCACGACGCGGTGTCATTTTCCAACCGAGATCGAGATCCGCGTCGAAAGCCTGGAGGAGAGGTTGAAACGAGGGCGAACACGGCGGAACGGTTACTATAGAAACACCACGCCCATACTGAGCCATGAGGAGAACGATGGGGATAGTCGGAATTTCGGTGTGATGGATCAATACTGGATGAACGGAGCAGGCTATATCTAATCGATCGGTTCCATTTTAAATAGAGCAGGTTCCATTTTAAATAGAGCTAATGTCCCGATGCCCCCCCCCCCCAAACCCGCTCAAAACTTATGTTGTGATGATTCAAGCTCTATTTACTCATGTTTCATCATCCGTTTGAGTGTTCATTCTTAAAACTGTTTATTAGTTGCAAAACTTGTCTTTGATAAAACATTATTATATTCTTTTTCACGTGAAGTCAATTCAAATGGAATGTAACATTGAAAATGATTCGTTAAATTATATTCTTTTTCATGTGATGTTAAGTAACTCCAATGAATGTGAAATTGTGAACATGCATACATAGAGGTGTGGTGGTCGAATGGATATGTCACCTGACTGTCGATCACAAGGTCCGCGGTTCGAGTCCCGCCGCGGCACTAATGTCCTTTGGCAAGACATTGATCTATATTTGCCACACTCATCCCAGGTGATGTAAAAGGGTACCTGGCAGGAATTAATTCCTTGAAATGAAATGCTAGAGCGCCGTATGGCTGCCTTGCTTGAGCCAGGGTATTGCATGGGAGTGAGGAGTGTCACGTATGACAGACATGGGCGCTATACAAGAACCCACTATTATTATGTTATAAATAAATAAACGTGGAGAGGTCCCACTTATGAATTTTAGAATAACCACTATTTCTAAATGAATAATCATTGCTAAAAGCAATTTGATGGAGATGCTTCTGGAATACTTTCTCTTTAAAATCAAACATTTCGATATGACTTGCGTAAGATAAATCCTGATGACATACGTTTTATGAGCACGTATTCAGTATTTTGTCTCTGAGCCAGTCTACAACGTTTTATCTGCATATCCGATTGTAGCTCGTAAATATCTTCAGTTTTTCTTTTTTCTTTTTACTCCATGTTGAATCAAAGAATACTCGTGTTTCAATCAATGCGCATATTGGGGCGTATGGTAAGTCATGATGCCACTAATGTCTAAAAAGCACGTATTCAGTATGTTGTCTCTGAGTCAGTAGGTTTCATCAGCATATCCCATTGTAGCTCGTAAATAATAGTTTTAAACAAATTTTATACTGTATGTTGAATTCAAAGAATACTTATAATTTGGTACGCCGCAATGCGATACAATAATTGAAATAGGTTATGTGATTGTGTTCCAGTAGCTCTTTTAAATTGTACGTGCATGCTTAGTTTGTAGCATTGTAAAGAACAGTATCATTGACGTATAGAGGGGTGTATTGAGTGTTCAAACACCCTCTCCCTCCCTTGGCAAAAGGGGGTGTTTATGAATTTTAAAGACAACCTTTATCTTTTTTTTTGTATCTATGCCCCCCTGCCCCCCCCCCAAATAACATTTTCTTTTTGTTGTTGCTCAAGGGTGGGGAAAGGTGGATGCTGAGAGGGGGGGGGGGGGGGGGGGAGTGTTCACCCACCACCCCCGCTTATTCGCCGACTGGCTGATTCGCCGCTAAATATTTTATCACGAATTGGGGGGGGGGGGGGGTAGTGCTCCTTTTTTGTAATTAAGACAAATTAGTGAATTATATTTTCATGATTTTCCAAATCATGGCTCATTTTAAAAACCATGCGCAGCGTTATTCAAAATCAAAAGAGCGACTAGAGTACATTGAAACAGCTCGGATAGTAGTTATTGGATAAAACCCACTGGCCCGTATTCTGAAGTCATGTTGGTTTAACTTTAAACCCGACTTCAGAATACGGGCCAATGGCATTGCATGTTCGTTTTTGACTATCCACATTTTCTTAATTATGTTTATGAAAGTGTTGCTTTACTTAACGTCACGTACGTTCTAGTGGAGTGGAAATTGATTGGTAAACTGAAAGGACATAGTTATCATGTGTCGTTATTTATCATCTACTCGACGGGAAACACATTTACTGTCATCAAGAACCTGAAAGAAATATTTTACATCCATCTCCTTTTTTAAGGATACTATTTACCCGCTATGTTTTTTGACGGGTGTGGTGCATGTTTTACGACTAAATGTAATACATGTGAATCAAGGCGTTTTAATGCTGGTTATACTAATGCTGTGCACGAAATAAATATTTTTTTACAAAATGGACCGTCACGTTTTCTCTTGTGTTCGGGAACATAATTAGGTAGTACACATTTATATCTTGACAATTGTGCAGACATAATTTATATGCCCTGCTAACATAAGATCTAAGATGATGACAGTAGAAGACGGAGAGATAGATAGAGAGAGAGAGAGAGAGAGAGAGAGAGAGAGAGAGAGAGAGAGAGAGAGGGGGGGGGGGGGGAGAGAGGTGGTACAGGGAGAGAGGCATGAACCTGATGAAATTATGACTGTTATAGGCAAGAGGTGGCGCAATTGTATGTTAATTTACTCTTCTCCAAACATTATTTTAGAAGGGAATTTGTTCATTTCAGTCGACTGAAAGTGCTATTAATGGAGAGATGCACCAAGAGATAAAGATAGAGAGAGAGAGAGAGAGAGAGAGAGAGAGAGAGAGAGAGAGAGAGAGAGAGAGAGAGAGAGAGAGAGAGAGAGATGGGGATTGGGACACTTACAGCAGGCGAGATAGTACGGCCTAAGCGTTAGACAACAAAGAAAAACACCAACAAAAATATTATCAACGTTTCTGATTAACAACATCCCTATGAGCTACGTCATCACTAACAGTCATCTCAGCTCAGAAAAAAGAAAGTCCGGTAGAGTTGTACAGTACGAAGATTGCACCCTCCTCGCCCCCCCCCCCCCCCCCCCCCCCCCCCCCCCTCTCTCTCTCTCTCTCTCCCTTCTCCAAACAACTGCCACCAAAAGTTTGGCATGAATTCTTTTCTTTATTTTTAAGCAAAACATTAATGAAGAGGGGGGGTCAGAGTGGCTGTTCCCTTTGGGGGGGGGGGGTGAAGATGAAGATGAAGAAAAAGAAGATGAGAAAGAAAAAAAGAAGAATGAGAAGGGCTCAGAATGTAAAGAATTAGAACGCTCCAATTTTAACAAATATATTGTGTATATTTGTAAAGGCAATTATTACTGCTTTTGACATAGAAGAATGAAAAGAGGATGAGGAGGAGGAAGAAATTGAGAATATGGAGGAAGGGGTGGTCTGAAAATGATGAGGAACATGTGGGGAAAAGTAGAAGAAAAAGAAAGAATTGATGGAATTGTGGAGGAAATAATTGAAAGAAAAGACTACTTTAGAAAACGAAAAATCATGACGTAATAAAGAGGCTCAACAAACTTATTCATTTTTTAAAATGTATATTTATATATTTGTTAATGCGTTGATACTGCTTTAGACCAAACATGACAAGTACCACATGAAATGCAAGGTTAACTCGTCTACCAAACCATACACAAAACTACCACCCTGTCCATACAGGTAAAACTATTCAAAGATTCTAACCATACCATGTTAATACATGTCATCGGCTGCCTGCAAGAAGGATGCGACTGCCATTGACAATACGGTGTTCTTGCGTGCAACAGACGATTATTACATTCATTCATAATTTAAGGACAGCAAAATATCATCTTTGAAAGTAACCTAGATCTGATTCAACTGGCTTTTTCTGTAAAAACCCTGATCGCCACAAGCGAAAATTTGTCTACTGAAAGCTATACAGAAGAGCGTTCTTTTACATACTTGTATATTAATTTAATGCCCTTTTGGGTGTTTAAAAAATAAAATAATGAATGGTAATCCCTCCTTCAATTCACTTTTCAGGGTAGGTTAAATGCATGAGGATCTCACTAGCAAGAGGGAAGATGTCTATTGTCTGTTGGAGCCAGAACAGCATTAACTCATATATACTTTAACATAGGGCTAATGCCCTTCTGGCTCTTAAAGTTGCTCAAGCGTGGGTATATAGAGGGCAGCACATGGGCGTACGCACAGGAGCGTAATACCCGTTGGCTCAGTGTTATGTAGTGATCGCCAAGATGCCTACTTCACAAACGACTATATACCCAGGCATAAACATCTTTAACAAATAATTTAATGGACACAAGATACACCCAATGCCTCCAAAACAAACTGCCACATATTCTCCTTATTCAGTTAAACCAGACGGGAGGAATAACTCATAATTAACAGGAAAACAAAGACCTCTGTCTATTTTTTGTTGAAATCTTCTTGAGATGAAGTTTAAACCCAGCGCCAGGTTAAACCTCGCACAAGGCTAAACTTGACTAGAATATGGTCCACTACAGTTACACAGGAGATGCCTTTTGTTCCAAACTTAAATATTTATACAGAGAACGGTACTCACTTTAATAAAGTCAGAATTTCAATCAATGATAGCTGGCTTGGTTAGAATCAAAGTCGGATAAGTTGCCAATATGGACAGGGTTATGACTATAAATAATGCTTTGTATAATACAACTATGTATAGACAGGTCAATAGGACCTCACATTATATCTAAATATATATATATGTATACTTTAATGCACTTTTAAAGTTAAATCAGGGTCACAAAATTGCTTATGAATAATTACAAGAATATTTTGGTTGCAATCCTTAGATGAGTTTAAATTAACACTAAAAGCTCCAAGAATGTTTGCATTTATTCACAGGGTGAAGTCACAGGGTTAAAGGTCAGCAAATAAATAGTACATGTATACAACAATCAAATTAATAACCACAACTCAACTCTTATTATATTACACAACTAACAACATCAGAACGGAAAAGGACAATTTACATAATAGGAGTCAAATTACCGGTAGATAAATAAATCAATGACTTTAACCCAACTGCTTTTCAAGCGTGAAGAAGAAAAACAAATGTGAGGCAGTACTTAAATTATTCTTTGCAAAGTAATTTTCATAAGTGTATAAACAATCACCAACTGAACACAATACAATAACTCAATACATTAAAGGAGAAATGTTGCTTATTTACGGTACTAGTAATGATAATATGTCACATAAACGATGCACCCCAATGACTGGAATAGTCTTAAAGCCCCTTGCAAGCTATATCACAATACATGTATAACATTTACAGTTAAAGCAAACTTGTTGGCAACTTCGACATTGAAGAAATTATATGCCAAGAGCCAGATGGTATCAATTCTACATAAAAATATACATATCAATGTCCTTCTGGCTATAAAGAGACAATGTCATCTCAAGATAAACAATGAACACCACAAAGTCCAATCAATGTCGCATTCAAACCTTGTCAGAACTCTGCTCTGGGCCATTTGTTGAAATCCTAAGTAGAAGGTCACAAACCTAGATGACCTCATGAATATTCAAAAGGCAATTCAATGGCACCATTCAACAGGCTTTTGGTTACTCAAAAAAGGGGGATTTTGGGCATAAGTAAATGAATTCAAATGATTATACTAATTTGGTTGCATAAAATAAATATAAAGACCAACTGGTAGTTCTGATGTCTATTTTAGGAGGAAAAGCTTATACCTTGTCTATTTTCAACTGATACAGCATTGAAGAGCACTAAATACACATGATAGCCAAGTAGTCAGGAATATGTACAAGCGTGGCTCATGCAAATATAGAGTAATTATACAGCTCATTAAAAAACAAAAACAAACCAAAGTTAAATAGCAAGCCTAGATACAGCACAAAATATATATAAATAGATAACTTTACACATATTTATGGTGAACACATCTTGTACAAAAGGTCATTATATGAGCTTTAACAATTTTGTTTTGAATTGCGTTTTGTGGGATGCAGATTGATTCACCACTGAAATTTGTGGAGCCACAAGTATTTCTTATTGTGGTACAAGTGTAGACACAACCATTATACGACCCTTGAAAGAAATGAATAGACTCATGTTTTCCAATGCCCAAACCAAATACCCCAGGCACTGAAAATACAACTGCTAAAACCGAGGCAAATAAACACTTTTTGTCATGAGACAATTATAACCAAAATTTAAGTAACGCTTTGAATCACGTTTCCTACCGTACAAGTTGAATAGTTTCAATTCTGTTGCATTAACATCCCGCATCTATTATCTACTCATCGTCATCTACACACACAGCCACTCTCTTGCTATTCTGTGTTATTTCAATCAGTGATTATGAAATTACATTTGGCAACAGGGTTGTTACCTTCAATGAATACTGATTTACAAGTGAATAAAACAAAGTACCTTTAGTTCATGAAAGTTGAAAATTGATGAAAATGATAATCCCGGGTTTCGACTTTGGTGTTGTCTGCTTGATCAAATAATGTCTAACCTCACTTTCCAGTCTATTTAACCTTTGACCCCAGTAACATCAACGAGACCTACGTCAGATGGAAAACAGACCAAAGTAAAACTTGTATTACCTCCAAAGGGAAAGAATCTCTTGGTCTGGAACCGATGTGGTGTCAGTTTGGTGGTGTGACTCTGGTAATATAGAGCAGTGGGCTGTTTTAACCAACCAAAATATTTACCTATATTAAATACTTAAGGATTAATAAAAGCTTATCTTTAGACTTGAAATTAAAAATGGGCTGATCGATTTTGAAGTTTAATACCAGTAACCCTCTTCCTATTTTCAACAACCTCATATATACCATTTTGCCAGTCTTCAAGCAAAGGATTCACAGGTACTATACAAAGTTAAATCATCTGTTTGGAGCCACATCAGCGTGAGCCCCTTCACCATATTTCTCAATGTTGTAACACAGAGCTCAGTGAATACGTGTACGTCCGTTGTTGCACACAGTTACCATTCATTTCATATGTAATAAAGACATTTTTGGTGGCATTTTGCCGCTCCATATCTGAGAACAGCCGTAAGAATGAAAAATCCATTTGATGAAAAGCCAGAAGGGTGTTACTATCTTGTATATTGTAACAAATAGTTCTGCAATTCTGGCTCTCAACGGACTATTTATAGACTATCTACCGTATTCAAATCCAGGTGGAATAGTACTTGTGTATGAAATTTACAACAATGCCATGGTTACAGTCATTTTTAGATTTGTTTGCATCTTTACAATAAATAACAGTGACAAATCAAGAGGAAGGTAAAAGATAGGGACATGGGGAGCGAGAGAAAAATTGAAGATTTGGAGAAGAAGAGAGGATGAGGGAGATGGCAAGATACATTTACAGAAAAGAACAAGAGAGTGGATAGGTTAGGACTAAAGAGACAGTTAGGCACAAAGACCTGTGAAGCAGAAAAGAAAACATGGATAATGTACAACCTGTCAAAACAAATGACATTCGCATTGCATGTACTACATAAATATGTACAAAGATAACACATGATTTGTAATGAATATAAACACAACTAGCCCTAAAGTTATTTACTTATAAAATAAAAAGTACAGTGTAACATCATGCTGTCCCTTCTCTTTCGTCTTTCATTTTCAGAAGGGTATTTGGAGTGAAAACCCTGATGAGAATAACGAGTTAATGCCTCATAACCAGTAACAGATCATTTTCGCCTTTCAGAATATGTTATTATTCTACAAACTCTGTTCTTATGCCATATTAAACAACATTGTGCAACAAATAGAAAACACCATATCAATCATACATTTACATGAATTCAACATTCACAATATAAAAATAGGTATGCTTTTTTGTTCTTTTTTTCACATTTTTTCTTCGAATTGTTACACAAATCATAGAGAAATCAACCGTACAACGAGACAATGTAGATTCCCCCAGCCTTAGGTGGACTGTAGACATGAAATCCAAACTGTGATTTGAAATTTCAGTGTGATTTTCCAAGCAAATTTATGCCACATGTACATGAATTGTACATACATGTAGCTAGATAGTGGAATCAGAGCTAAATTATTAAAGGAGTTTTCTTTACTTCATATTCAATTATATCAGACAATATTATTCACTAAAACTATCAACTCTACCATTGTGTAAGAAGGCAATTTCTAGGACTAGATTAACTCTGGATTATTATACATTGACTGTATGCTTTGCCGGTAAAGGCTGAAGAGATATATTCAGTGAGTACTTGGTCTCTTGTCTCTCCATATCTCATTTGACCTCGATCTCTGTCTACAATACATTAGTTCACTCAGCCTGACTGTCAATATCTTTCTGACCAACAAGACAACTGTCTACATTTCATAATTACATAGCTTGAATAAATATGTATACATAACCAAACATTCTTAACCCTTTGGCTACCGTACAAGTTCTCTCCTTCCTTTGAGGTTGGAGAGCACCCCTGTCAGTAGGCAACATACCTTGCTTTTATCTTCTTGCCCCTTCTTATAAAATATCTTGATTTCATCTTCTCCCCCCTTCTTATAAAATACCTTGAATTTATCTTAAATACCTTGCTTTTATCTTCTCCCCTTTTTATAAAATACCTTGCATTTATCTTCTTGTCCACAATAGATGTCTGTTGAATACCTTACTCTTCTTAAATATACTAGACCCTTAGTGAAATATATAAATCCATCTCCTTTACATTAAAAGTGGAAGCTTTTAACCAAAAGTAAGCATTTTGCTCCGTTACTTTATCCATCTTACGGTATCCATCTTACAGTATATGGTTCATATTTCAGCCTTTTTGTCCATTACATCCTACTTCTCTATCATTCTCTATTTCAATTCCATCAAGGGCCCTACTGAATAACTTGTAAATGTATTTATTAAATGCATTTAATGAATGCATTCGGTTTCAAGCAATTAAATATCAACCAATCAGATCTACTCATTACCCATGTAAAGTAGAGACCTAATTAACATCAAGTTTTGCTTGATTGCATTAAAAGGCTATATTAAAGTACTGATATACATGTTCTTGCAGGTACAAAACAAAAATTATGAGCCTTATTATCCATCTTTTTAAAAACCCTATATTGACAAAAATAGCAAATGTACCACCATGAGAAGGATTGCTTTTGAATTAGGGTCATATTTCAATATTGATAGGCCCATGAGAACCATTTTTAGTACGTAGTCCCATATATTCATATCTGTGTATGTTCTTCTTAGTACTATTTGATATCCATCTATATATGCAATCACTGTTTCACTGCAATTTTGCACATTCACATGGGGTATCCCATCAACAGCAACAAAATCTTTTTGACAAAAAATAAATAAAATAAATAAATGAAAACACTTTATATCAACTTTCTGGTCTCAAAATGCGATTTCACTGCACATTATTAATAATAAACACTGTACCTTGAAGTTATAAGGTAAGAAAATACAAGAATTATACAGCAGGGCCCCGGATTACATTTTGGAAACTTGCACTCCTTTCTTTTCCCGTTATTTTACACTGTACTGCAGACTCAGAATGCACAAAACCCTCTTCCCGTTTAATACAACACTGGCAAGAAAACAAGATGTCTTCTTCACAGACATCTGGCTAACAACTTTAGTACTTTACAACAACTGACTTGACCCTTGCAAAATAACACATTAAATAAAGTCTAATGACCAAATGAAACGCCAAACTGACCAACCAACATGCCACTAAATACATGTAGCATATCTTTACTACGATGACATTGCTTCTTAAGCATCATATTGAATAAGATGCAACTAGTCTATCTACACAATAGCTTGCATGAGATCTAAACTGTAATGCACAAAATACTGAACATTATGTAGGCATTTCTTTTCTTTTGATACTCTTCACCCAGGCATACATATGGCACAAACCACTGTGTTGCAGTAGTCACATCCTTCAGCAATAAACGTTCATTATCCTCTGGGAACCGAGGAAGCCAAGACGCATGTAGATGCTCTCCTTGAATGCATGAAGGTGGAGCAAACAGCCGGCACAGTTGCGACGCTGCATGTGGTCCAAGATACCTGTTTATGACCACACATACATGTAGTTAACCTGCAGGGTATCCATTCCCAATGTCTTTGAATGATATCTCCTGTGCCATTGCAGAATTTGGGCCACTTTGGATAGGTATCCCAACTCCCCTGCGACAGACATGCGGCCTTTCTCGACAGGTGGCCACTAATGCAGGTTATACTGTACTTTCCACCTCTCTATAAAGTCCTGTCTCCAATACACTCAAACCTGTCTATTTGGACTAGACCATTTGGAATACCTCCCATATGGACTTTATAGACAGGTTCTTCAGCGCATGTATCTTCCTAGGTCATTTTATACATCCCATCTTCCCTGCAACCACAAATCCAGACTCGCCATTGACTACATACATCGAATATCTTCCATAGTAAGGATAGGGTTAGATATCTAGTATAACCTCACTTAATATGCATTAGTTTAAAATAAAATAAGAAAGAGAGGGCGGGGTAGGGGGTTGCTGGGATGGAGATTGGGGTGGGGTTAATTGTTCATTATGCCACCAGGAAACACAGCAAAGATGATGAGATAGAGAATGACCACCAGTCCCACCAGGACAGCAAATGCAACGTTCCTCCATCTCTGAAAACAAAGATGAAAAGATAACACACAATTCTGAATTAATTTAAAATAAATAATGGATTCATCTAACATACAATAATATGAACATCATGCATAGCAACTGGAGGACAAGCTCAATAACTTTAAAAGATATGAATTTTTTTTTAAATATTTTTTTTTAATGTTCTCAAAATTCAAAAGAACTCTATTAAAATTAAAATGAACGTCTGGGACGAGAAAGGCAATCATAGGGAAGAGTAACAATGTTTCTTTTCATATAATGACTACTGTATTCAACATAAATACATTTGCAAGCTTTTTAAAATATACTGCAGAGTAAGAAAAGTTATTCCTTATGGCATACAAGTATGTAGAACAAAATCTAAACACAAGATTCTTCTTGTTTTATTCATATTTTTCTACACATATATATGAGCAAGCTTTCCAAAGTACAAATACAAGTCATGAAGTGAGAAAATGTATTTCAAAGTGTTAGGCTTACCCAATTACAAGATTCTTTTTGTCTTTATTCATATATTACTACAATATATATATATATATGAGCATGCTTTTCAAAGTATTCATACGAGTGGAAAAATGTATTTCAAAGTGTTAGGCTTACCCGATTTGACCTGAATTTATCCATGACCCCTCGCATGTGTTCTGAGAGAGGCACATAACTGAAGCGTGCGCCACATACCTCACACGTTCTGTTACCAGATATCTGGATCCATTTGACCAGGCATTGACGATGAATACTAGCTGCTGACCCGGTACATCTAAAGGAAGGAAAGGAAAGGGTGGGAAAATGTGTGAAACATCAAAAACATGATCGCAAAGACTTTCAAGAAAACAAATCTAGGGCTGTACAATGATTTTAAAGGCATCGTTGAACAATGTTAAATCTGAGATGTATGGCCTTACATGTTATCAGTGCCTGTGATACATGGTGTAATAATGAAGCACTGAGAAAATTGTGCTTCAAAATGATCATGAAGTGCCTCAAAAAAGTAAAAATCTTTGAATAACCAGTTTTACCATACACATTTTTCCCAGAAGACTGTAGTGTTATGAAAACCGTTAGTAAAACGCAAAATTTGATTTATTTCCAGAGCAAATAGTAGCCACGATTAGCATGTACAGATGGGAAAGCTTACTCAACAGATACAAATGTGAAGATATATGTATATATGAATATTTTTCCGCTTTTATATAGCGCCCAATACATAGATACAACGATGTGTCAAAGCGCTTCACAGACATATTATTACCCCGGTCATCGGACTCGGGCTAATGAAGCTAATGTACCCAACAAGGATTGTGTTAGACAAGTTCACAATTGAACTACATAACGGTAAACTCATACTCCAGCAACAAAATTACACTGTGTTCTTTTCACACTAGTCCATTTCCAAACTTGAAATCTAAATCCATCATTATACCTAATCCCAAATCTAAATGTAAACTTAATAACCTACAACCCCAATGAAACACAAACCCTCACCCTGTATTTCTTTATAGCAGTTCTGGTAAAGGGTGAAAAAACAATCTTAAGAAATATCTGTTTAATTTAGCTTATAATTGATTACCATTACCTTTCATGTCTGTACCTTTCCCATCGCACTTTTGTATATATTTATCATGTCTTTCATCTTTTGCACAAGCTGCGCCTTGAGCATTTGACTGTCAAGTGGATTTGGCGCCTTAGATTATGTGTATGTATTATTATTATCATCAAAAGGTGAAGTAAAGGTTGCAGGAATAAATGTTTGATCTTGACTAACCTGCAAGGTCTGATGAGCCTGTTCTTAGATGATGTCTCCCCTTCAAAGCAAACCCTACATGTTGTGCCCAGCTCACTGGCCGACCTTGCTACAGACGTCATCGACACCATGGATGATGTGTCGCTGGAATCCAGCCCAAACCCTAACGGAATGTGTTTACCCTCCATTGGGTTACCGGACCCACAGGCCAAGGAGGGGCACGGACGCCCCTGGTTCCAAACAATTACATCGTTAGACACCAACTCCGGCTGCATGCGGTCAAACGGGAACTGACTGGGGCGATCAACGATCCCGTATGACGTCGACGGCGCATCGAGATCGAAGGTGGCGTCCATGGTTAGCGTGGATGCGTGCGGAGGTCGGGGAGATGGCGGTTCGATGTCGATGGTGATCATCTGCTGAGAGGCAGGGGGGAAGTCTGTGGGGTCGGGTATCGTGCCGGAGTCGGAGCATGATTCCGTAGGGCTTTGTGGTGTTGTTAGAGGGTCTTTGAATGGAGCAGTGCCGTTCTCCTTGGCTAGACGTTCAATCAGATCTAAGGTGTCCTGCTGGACTGAGTCTACCACGTAAGGCAGGGTCTGACAGGATCTACTGCTTAGGCTGGTAGGTGACTTGATGTCGTATTCACCTTCATCTGCAAATCAACATGTAATCAGTCAATTTTAGAGGAATTGTTTAAGTTCAAGTTCAAGTTCGTTTATTTACACTCATCATTAAAGGTATTACAAAGTTTTGGTAAGGGGTCATGAATTTGGTTTAAATTAACATATTGGAAGCATATGCGTTCCTACAATATTCATTGATTGTTGTCGCGGTTGAAATCGAGTCTAAAGTTATGAAATTATAAATAATAAACTCTTTATGTTGTATAGCTCCCTCTCAAGGTCAAGATATTAATTTAGCTATGAAACAATGTTTACTGACTAAATTTGACCAATTACTTATTCCCGTTTGGAAATTATACATCACAACTACATATTCTGATATTTTCATAGTCGCAGCTACCATTGTACGGCCATATAGACGATATTTGAAATTTATCAAAATTTACCGGGAGCACCGGTAAATTTTTATATTCAATTTTTCTCGAAAACAGAAGTGTTTTAGGGGCTAATATTTTTAGTGCTTATAATACACCCACAGGGGCATCCAAATATATCAAAATTGTAAAGATTCACTATCCACCCAATTTTCACATTTCCCAAAACTTTGTATTACCTTTAAAAATACAAGAACATATACAATTAAATGAGGAATAATCACACATAAAATATCATACATTCAACAACAACAAAATAACATAACATAATGGGAGTGAAGGGATGAGCTAAAAAGGAGTATGGTCCTTATGCTAGAGCCCATCCCTCAGTATAATATAATTAAAAGGTAAATTAAATTAAATGTTGTACGATTGGAAGCATGACAAAAAGAGGGAAAACAAGGGGGGGGGGGGGTAAAGAGCCTGGTGAGTTATAGCACGTAGGATTCAATTAAATACATTTTATATTTTCGTTTAAAAGTTTGAAGACTTTTGCAATTTCTTATATTTATTGGAATGGAATTCCAAATTTTTGGACCATCGAAAGATATTGACTTTTTCATTAAAGTTGTTTTAATTTGAGGTAAGTGGAAATTAGATGCATTTCTAGTTTCATAATCATGAAAGGTCGAATTCAAATTAAAATACTTTAGAAGTGCACATGGTAAAGATTCATTTCGACACAAGTACATAAAGACTGCAATATGATATTCACAGATATCAAATACATTGAGAAGCTTTAAGTTATAAAATATAGATTTCTAATGAGCTCTGTAGTGTGAATTTAAAATTACCCGGATGGCTTTCTTTTGCATTTTGAGTATCCTATTCAGATTGGTTTGGCTTGTCATGGCCCATACTTCAGAACAGTAATATAAATGAGGAAGAATTAAAGTATTATATAACATTCTTAAAACACATTTTGGTAGAAATCTAAGTTTGTTTAGAATGCCAGTATTTTTTGAGATCTTGTTGCAGACAGCACCAATGTGTTAATTCCATGTAAGTTTAGAATCAATTTCTATTCCGAGGAATTTGTTTACAGATACACGTTTGAATTCATGATTACGTGGTAATCATGGCTACCAGTCGGTGTTCCTCATTTTTCTCAGTATAGTAACCTAACCATTTTATAGCCCTATTGTCCTATACTATCTAAAGCTTTTAAATATATTTCAGGCTACAACAAAAATAAGAGTGAGACAAATTATCTCTTCAAATATCAAGTTCAGAAATCTCTTTGCCTTTGTAATTTTCGCAAATGAATTGAATAAAAGAAGACATGCATGCAATCTCTTTCCGCTCTCACGTAAATCACGATGTTGCTTGTAATTTTCCAATTTCATTTGAATACTCTCACACCAACAAAAACACGTGTTTCGGCAGCCTAGCCCATCGTACCACCACATACAGCTAGTCTAGCCAAGAACCGTATTGGTAGGTACGAGGATTACGTGCGTGCGTTGTGCAATCTGTGCAAATTACGAGGCAACGGCATAGCATTACGAACATCGCCAAGGCAGTTACTATAGTAAGGTACGCAAGCACATCATTTTATGCTGATATTTTCGTGCTCTGGAATGATGAGGTGCCATTTTTTTCACAATAATATGCAATTCCTGAAATTCGCTAAAATTAAACCCTCGCGAAAATAACAGCTTATACAATAGTGGGCTCCTGACAAAACACATCAAACTCAGCCCTAGTTTCCCAGGCCTTTTTCTTACTACTACTTGAAGTGAGGACTTACTGATAGAGCCTGGTGTAGAGACATCTTTCTGGCTTTCCCTGGAGGTTCGTCTTGATGCCACCTGTCCCTGGGGGCTAGAGGTACCACTCTGGCCATGCCCGGTACCTCCTGAGGGTGAACATTCACCGGAGCTAACCTCATCCTCTAAAGCATGCTTTAACCTGCCAGAGGGAGGGGACAACAAGGAAATAACAATGATTATATAGTTGGACTTCATCAACTTTTAGAAGACGTTTAGTTTAAAACAAAAAGGAAATGGCAATGATCATTGTTTGACTTTACCCACGTGTGATTACTCAAAAGCACATATTCTATAGAAAGCTGAATGATTGTAGTCTACCCTCATTCACGAAAACGTTTTACAAAATTAGAAAAATACAGATATCTTCTTTGGAATTTAAGAATTTGCTTTAATGAACTAGCTGGACCATGATTACAACAGTTTATTAAAGTAGTCACCCAAAGAAAATTCATGACAACTGATAATCATGGACAAATTATATATGGATGGAAAGATTTTTTCTTGAAAAACACAAATAATTTGCTGAAAAAAAATCATAAAGATATCATGGAAAGGCGTAAAATGCTTCGTGGATAGCTGTGTCTCGCTTGTGACGTCACAAATATTGACGCTCTATGGAGGACCGCTGAAGGCAGAAAATCTGGATCTCAAGATTAACATTTTTTAAAGATGATTAATGCGGGCCCCAAACATATTTTGAAGAGGGAATTTGTTACATTTGATCATTAAGGCT